ATCAAGATATATTTATTATGTAAATATTATATAACTTTATATTACAAATAAGTGTATGCTTTAATAAAATGCTCAATTCAAGGCCCTTCCAATAGATGAATAAATGTAAACATTATATGTAAACAGTAACATGTAAACAGTATGAAGTGTTTCCCCAAAGTGGAAACATGGACATGTGATCCTTTTGTGAGACGAAAGAAAAAAAATAAGCATGAAATATTATTAACTTGCTGTCTGCATACTTTCTGTGATATACCTTAAAGATGGTGTCTTTTCCAGGCCGTTTCTTCTTCCTGGAGAAACTTGGATGAAGCAGTCCTCCCTCAATGTTCCTAAAAGAAAATCTTTTAACTTGCAATTAATGCTCATTAGTACTGTGTATTACGTTATTTGAACTACATTCTATATATATATAGTAATTAAATAGATTTCTTCAGGAGAGAGAACTGCTGTTGATTAGCTTAATATAGAACAAAGTAGCGGTAAAGAGCACGTAGTAGGGACTTGTGTAATTGAGCAATGGAGCAAGATGTGGCAAGCATTAATAAATAGATGGTGCATCCTGCTGTGTTGTGGGAGGCATTAGGCCAATGCCAACAAAGTACACCAAACAAATATAAAAGCAGTATGGATATGTTCCAGAACTCCATACTGTTATTCAAGATATTAATAAAATATTCCTCTGAAGGATTTTTATGGATATGAGTGTGGCTATACGACTCTGAATTTAGGCATGTGACATTGCAGGTACTTTTCAAACAAGAAAAAGTCAAAAATCCCTCAGTCAGCTCTGTCTTTTGAAAAATACCATGTAATATATTGTGGATCCATCAACATTGGTTGTATTGAAGTCAGTAATAAAACTTCCTTTGACTTCACTGTCAATCATTAGGCCAGCTTCTGAGAATTCTCCACAAGATACTCTGCTTTCCTACAGTGCTTTTTCTTATTCTGTGCAATGCTTAAAAAGGCTGAGAATCGGGGAACATCATTGCAAACTGTTCTGATTCCTCACACCTGAACGATGGTGTATGCATGTCCCTGGGAACTTCCCCAGCTTCCTGTAGGCAGTATGCCATCTTCTGTGCATCCAGGATCGGGGATGATTCTAGCTGTAACACTTGCAATCAACTCTTTACAGTGTTCTGTCTCTGAGTAAAAACATTAATTTTTTCTCTTTTCTTCTGTTGTCCTTTTTAATAGGTAGAGGAAGAAAGGTAAGATTTCCTTTACGCTCTTTTTTTTTTTTTTTTTTTTTTTGTGTATTACAACTGTTCGAAGAATCTCTTGCATCTCCTTGAAGCACTTCAGAGAAACTAAATATAAGCTCTGTTAAAAACACTTAATTCTTTCCTCTTGGTCTTCCTTAGTGGCTAGGGAGATTGCAGTCCACATAGAAAAAATTGCTGGGATGCAGGCAAAAATCCTGGTCATAATATAGAGAATCCCTTAACTGAAAATCCCTGCTGCCTACATCAAAGGAATTCCAGTTTTGTTGAGTAGTTTTGTTGTTTCATCGCTAGCAGTGCCACAAAGTGAGGGAAGGGAGCACTAGGTTGTTAGAAGCCAAACTATTAAAACTTTTAGTTTGTTTTTTATTGAGGCTTAGCTGCCTAGTGTGCAGTAGGTAGCACAACCTCTCTTTAACTGTTCCTGCTGGAATTGTTAAAACTTTGTGCAGGAAGCATGTGTGTATTACGGTGCAAGGTGTTACTGCATCTTGTCTAGCTGTCCTTCTGTTAGCCTTGACCTATACCTAATTCAGGTATCAATCGCAAGATAGCTGTTGCACTACTGCAACACTGAGGTGTGGCTCAGTGGCTGATTATATACCACACACGGCTGCTATGTCAACTTTGCAGCTCATCTTGCCTATGGCTACACTTGAGGTCAGGTGTATTTACAGGAACCTAAGTAACACTGTTGAATAGCTAGGGTCAACAAACTTGCCCCAAAACTACTCTGTCCTCCAGCTGGTACCCCACAGCATTGATGTGATGAACTCTAACGCAAAGTTGCACTTAAAAATTCAAGTTTTAAAAAACGTTTCACGCTGCTTTTTGATCTAAATAGTGTTTTTAATAAGAATTTTGGTTTTCTTACATTTACTGTTATATTTCATTATTTCATATTTTTGCCCATGAATAACTGGGGTTTTGTATAAATTACTGGAGGATTGCACAAATACAAAAATACTCCTCAGCCGTATTTAAATGTATGAAACTGTGCTGAAAACAGTTTTTTGGCATCCTTTCTACTTTCACTGTGGTAATAATTCAGGCTGCCCAAGGCAGCTTGCATAACATCATGGCCATGTTCAAGTCAATGCTAAGTGAAACACTGGCAAACATTACCTGTGTACTTGTGAGGGTCCCTTACAGCAGGTGGGTCTGCCAGATCCTGAGTACTCAACAGGGAAGCTGGTCCAGGCACTGATGAAGAACTGGGATGATGTGTTCTTGCACAGAGCCACACTTCTGTGGGCAGCATCTCTCATAGTATGTAAATTAAACAAAGAGAAGATCTATTCTTACAAGAGAAATTAAAATACATTCTGATAAATGAGCTTCTGAGATAGTAAGCAGCTACAAGAAATAATTGAAATAATTTTTAGGTGATCAAGTATGTACACTCACTAAACCCACGTAGCTCTTGATGCAGAGATGGTTTATGGAAGTAAAAGGACTGTGATCAGCTTATTATTATGTGATAAACAAGGCAGGAAATTTTTTATCTTTACAAAGTCCTTTGGTTTTCCTTAATAAAACGGTTACCACCGATAGGTCTGATCCCACTTATTTTATGTAACGTAATCATTATCAACACGTTCAGCTCAATGAAAAGTCGAAGGGCAAATACTGGATCTTTCACTCTGAAGCTATGCGATACATTTTGTATTCCGTCCCTACGAAGCAGATGGACATGCAGGTTTTCTATGTCCATAGGTTTAATGATATGAATTTTAATTTAATAACTTGAAGAAATGGAATCTGAATGCTGCTTTGGGCTCTGCATTTCCTATGAATCAAATCATCCAATAACATAACTATAACATGTTTTCTAGTACTTAAATATCATGGTAATTTTTTAGTTTGACTCTTATTTCAGCCAGTTTGTTATGGAGCTGGTCTGTTAATTTATAGCCTTCCTTTGGTCATAAAAGCTATTACAGGTACTTGGTCTCAGTTGTACGCTTGGAGAAGTCTTAGCATTTGTCACAGTCATAGGAGTGGTATTGGTGAAACTGGTACTGTTAATTGCACTTTCACTTGGTTTTTACCATCTGATATTTTTCTATCTTTTTCCTACAGGGACAAAAAGGAGAACCTGGAATAGTGCCACCTGTAAGTCCATTTTTTTTCCTTCATTTATCAGCACACCCTAGAAGTGTGTGTTTTAGTGCTTTAAAGCAGAATGGCAGTAATTAAGGAAATACAACAAAAATGTACAGCCTAGGAATGAAAGGAATGGAATTAATTACATTGTTTCACATATGTTACATTAGAAATTCCTGTCAATTGCATTTTGGGAAAAAACCTTATTAAGTTAAATCTGTCATAGTCTTTATTATTGCAGTTAGAATTTTGTGGAGGCAAAATGTGTCTGGAAAGTATAGAGACACTTGAGAAAACTGGTGAAATAAATTGTCACTTTCTATCTTTTTTTATCGCTTTCTAGCATGAAGACAAAATAATTGATAAGTTGAGACTAAATCATTGCAATTCACTTATTTATTTCATCTTTTTTAGAATAATGCTATTTCCAAGATTTTGTTTATATTATATTATTGTCTTTTTAGACTTCAAACTGGAAAAAGATAACCAGTGAATTTTTTTTTTTTTCTTTTTTCAAAAAGCCTTACAACTTGTGTGGTACTTTAATTTTCTCTCTCGCTATTTACTTTTCAATAACTAATTTTCTGTAAGACAGTCATGACAGGTATAGCCATAATGTTGTGTGGTAGCTTCAATTTATATTGCCTTCTTTAGGTTTCAGGAATACGAGGCCGCCCAGGACCAGCCGTGAGTACTTTTTGAACTTCTGTTTCTCTGACGATAGCATTTTCTCTTTCTGCCACTTTTCTTTTGTATTGTGAGGATGATGTGAAGGAGGACTCTTCTGTGCTTGTAGGTGGGTATTGTCTACAAAGCCGCTGGCAACAAGATTATGGGATTTTTTTACTAGTGTCAGGTCAGCCCGTGCCCTAAGTGAATGGATGTGTATTTGTAGTACATGTATGTCTGAGGACCTTTGCGCAAGGTTGGTTCTGGGGAATGCTTTTCTAGCAGGGATCTAGCAGGAGTAGAAGGAGATGCAGTGTGCTCCTTGGCTGTGGCTAAGCAGAGAGCAGTTCTGGATGGGTGTCTCAAACCTGTACATTTCTGCATTAAGAGCCTGTGGAGCATGTGAGAGGTGAAACCATTTTGTAGATCCATGCATTCTGGTTCTGCTCCCTTCAGGCAATGTACAAGTGAGAAGAAATATTGAATACTCAATGATTGTAACTGTTTTCTTTATGATCACGTGGAAAAAAAAAAGAACCACAAATTAATTTTCAAATAAGCATTGCGTTTCATATTTTCAGAGCTTTATTAATAGTTGGCTAGTTTAAAAGGTACTTAAAATTTCTAATCTTTCTTTTAGGGACCTCCAGGCTCACAAGGACCACGAGGAGAACGAGGACCAAAAGGCAGACCTGTAAGTTACTAAATATCTCAGAAATTAAGTACTGGACTAACCTCAAAAGGTTAGATGAATTTAAACTGTCTCCATGTCTTCTGGAGTTACTAGAGCTTTCCTCATATTTTCCAAGAATCAGGCAAAGAACAGAAAAAAGTTTACATCTCACCATTCTCTGGGTCGGTTGAAACCTGCATGTTTTGAGATAATTGACAGAGGTTTAGCAGTATTTCCACTAAAAGCCGTACTTTCTCAACAGTTACCCAAAGTAGTGCCTCAGAGTATGGCTTTCTCCAGGATTAAAAAAAAAAAAAGAAAAGAACAAAACTAGAACATCACGTTCATCTGTTTAAGAACTCGCTGACTTTTTACTGGTTAAGTTTTACTGTGCATCAGAAGCGGTATGAACTGTGTGGCTTTGAGTATTTCAGAAGAGACAAAGCTCAGGAAGTTAGCAGGAGTTAATATGTGACTACATATGTTGGTATGTTGGTGAATAATATAATCAAGATTGCTCAGTGGAAATAAAGACTTCATAAGTGAATTTCAGTGTCTGCATGTGGAGAACCACAGAAAGGCCAAAAGGGAGTGCTGAAAATACCAAAGATGACATGTTTCTGTTGAAAAAGCTAGGTCAAAGAGCAGAAACTGCTAAAACCAGATTCTAGAGTTGTATCAGTGTAGTTTCTGTGTGGATATTTTCCTGTCCCTCAGGAGAGAGCAGGCCAATACTGAGTTTAGGCATGGGCCTAAAACTGTCTCCTTTGTGCTGTTTGTCCGGTGTGTGCCTGTTGTCCATAGATGGTAATGACACCACTTCTAAAGTAGTGGAGTAAGTGTGTAGCCTCTCTGAGATGGATGCCAAGCCACAGCTGCTCTCTAGATCACTGTAAGACATTTGTCTGTTGAATGAGTATCAAGATGCTTAAAAAAATTCTGGGAGTAATTGTGAAATCTTGTGGTGCACAGAGGAATCTTGACTCTGTTTATAGAGATGTCTGAAGTGCTTTCCTGATGTACAGTATTATCAATGAGATGCTAAATAATTTCTGATTCTGTGCCATGCACCCCTTGAATGTTTCTACAGAGTGGTGGCTAGAAGCACCTAAAATACCAAAAGGCTGTAAATAGTTTTGAGTCCTCTCCTATGAAAATGTTACATCAAAGGTTCTGGTGGGCTCTGTGTATGTCAGAGTGTAAGTCTGAGACCAAAGAGCACTGCTTTAGTTATGCAATGACTGCAAGTGCAGGATTTTTTATTTATACTTTCTTCCTTGAAAGGGTTGTCAAGCACTGGAACAGGCTGCCCAGGGAAGTGGTGGAGTCACCATCCCTGCAGATGTTTAGAAGATGTGTAGACGTGGCGCTTAGGGACATGGTTTAGAGGTGGACTTGGGAGTGTTAGGTTTATGGTTGGACTCCCTGATCTTAAGGGTCTTTTCTAACCTAAAGGATCCTGTGATTGTTACCTCGCACCTGCAGTATGCATTATGAAAACCTCTCTGCACATTGTTTGCACTTTGTTTAAAATACCTCATGGAGCAGGTAGCCTTGTATAGACACCCTTTATAAAATTACTCTGGATGAATATATTACTGACTGGTGATAGTACAAAATCCTAAGCACATTTCAAAGCCTTTAGTTTCTTTCTTTGGATTTTTTTTTTCTTTTTTGTTCTTTAAATGTGCTCCTTCCACCCGTGAGTGGAAGGAGCTCAACCTTGCTATAGATCTCTGCTTTTTACAAAAGCAAGACCCTTGGCTGTAAAGTGAATTCAGGAGTATTAGCGTATTTTTATTTCAAATTCTTTGTTAGTGTAACAAAGAGAGAGAAACAGCTAGGGAATAGCATGTTTGTATTTGCAAAATGCATCTGGGGAGGGCAAGTTTTTGGAGCCTGATAGAACTTCAGGTGTTTACAAATGATCTTTTGAAGACAGAAAATAAGCTCGGAATTATTGATATGTTTTGTTTCAATACGGATTTACACTCAATTGTAATAGCAGTTAAAATAGATAGTAGTTTGAGAGCGTTCTACCATGATCTGCATTTCCTTTTATTCCGTTACAGGCAGAACCTGTAATAGTTTCCCGAACCACAGCAGCAGTGGGCCGGAATGAGCCACTTGCGTGTTTAAACGGTGCCACCTCGTGGCCTCTGTGAGATTTTTTTTTTTCTTTTTTTTAAGCCTCGCTGACCTTGAGCTAGTGAAAGAAAATGAAAGCGCTTTGTTTAAATATACACATAAACAGATACATTTATTTATTTGATATTATTTATGATCGAGATTTTCTTAAAAAAAAACCCCAAACATTGGTTTTATACCACTGGTTAGTTGCCACCTCCAAATACAAACATTCTTTTTGGGGACTTTTTGGGTTTCAGGGTAGGGGATTGCAGCTGCTCTTGAAGCAGGTTGATTTTTGGTGACTAAAAAGTAGGTTCTTTCCTTAAAAGAAATGGAAAAAAAGACCTTTTTTTATATCAGATTTTGTTAAGGTGTCCTGGTTTGGATATTGAAAATCAGTAGTCATTGTATAGAAACTTGCTTAATTCTTTAAGGCCAACTGTGGTTTTTTTCCTCTAATGCTTAACTTCGTTTTCTTTTTATTTTCAGAACACAAGAAATAATAACTCATTCTTTTCCTCCTTTGGGCAGTATGCACTTTTAGGTTTGGCATTGTGTACTTCTGTTTATAACAGAAATATTAAATAATAAAGTTTTCTGCTAGAACTTTCTGCTTCCATCCAGCATGCACAAATCTTCTCATTTGTTTCAGAATACCATCTACTCACAACTCATTCTGTGTGTAGGGGTGTATGTGTACATGCATGTCTGATAAGAAAAAGATTTTGCCCTGATTGCTGGGCTTATAGGAATTTCAGACCATAAAGGTAGATCAAGAATTAAAAGAATTAGCTCATTCACTGGGAGTTTCCAGGAACCCTGTTGTCAGCACTGTCCCAGTGTAGTCTTTTCGGAAGGGAATGCTTTTTCTTTAACGTGCAAACCATACTAGTTCAGAAAAAAATTCCACTGAAGTATGTCACAGACTGCGAAGCAGCATAGTCCTCATTTAATGGAAATATAAGCAATCTGTCTGATTATAATTGTGTTTGTAAAGATGACTCACTGAGCCAGGCTTCCCAAGTTTTATGTTTAAGGATCCTTAAAATGAAGAGGTCTTTATACAGCATAAAATTTTTCCTTGCCGTAGTCAAGCATTTATATTCTAATGAAGGAGGCAATAATGACAAGCGCTTTAAAATCTGTACTTAGGACTGAAGTATATCTTTATTGGCCTTGTTGCTATTGATTTTGTTCTACTAATGCTTTATTAGTGGCTTCAGTATTTTTGGTTCTGACACATGATGAATGCAGTTTAGAAATCAAAAGTGTATGATCAATATGGGATGGCCTCCCAGCCTATTCTGCAAATATTTGTCAAGGTAACATTGACACCAAGGGACTTACTCTGCATTTTTGGCAGTGTAACTATGTTGAGAATTCAGCAACAGTATGAGCTGTCTAAACCATTCATGATGTCAGGAGGCTGTAAAAATCCAGCCTTACACTGGAGTTTCCTAAGCATGCATATGTACACCAGTCTGAGCTATATGTATTTTAGAAATAAATTCATGCTATTCTATATTGTGTGCATAGCCAAATAGTTTTTCAAGAATAGTACTCTAGTGTGGAGTGATAGGAAGTTTCTAAGAGAGCCTCTGAGAGAAATTACTGCAGTTTACTTGTGTGTTGGATTCGTGACTAATTTAAGCTAGTGCTTTTGATCTGAAGGTAGGAACATGTCTTGAGGGATGTTGTTTGTTTGAGATCTTTCTGTAGAAATACAGATTTATCACAAACCGAGGCAGTTGTTTGCCAGTTACAATAATTTTAATGAATACCTTTGCACACTGTTGGCATTTCTTTTTTTTCTTTCTAGGGTCCTCGTGGTCCTCAAGGGATTGACGGTGAACCTGGTATCCCTGGCCAGCCTGGTGACCCTGGTCCTCCAGGGCATCCTACCCACCCAGGACCAGATGGACTAAGCAGGGTAAGTGTTACATTTACTTTAGTAGAAAGTGAAGTAAGTGTTGCGCCAGATCCACATGATACAAACAGTAACTTTTCTTTGCTTCAGTGAATGCAGAATGCTCTGCCCACAGTTCCTGTCTCCCAGTCTTGAGGGACAGCAGCTGCACCTAGCGGCAGTTCAAGTTCTGCCAAAAATTGGGGCAAGTTAAATGTGAGAAGCCTCAGAAAGGACTCTCTTTTTGCAATGGGTTTTAGCATCTAGAAAAGCCAAGGTGCGCAAATCTAAAACCCTCAGTAGGGTTCCGTTACTTGCACCTGACTTAAACCCAAGCAATCTAGCCAAGATGAATGATAAATAACAGAAGAACTAATCAGAGAAATTAAAATGTGGTTAAGTATACTTCTTGCTGGAATTGTTCAGACCAACACTGAGAAGATAAGTAAGGAATTGTTTGTGAAAAGCAGTGCTAACCAGCCATAGGTACAGACAAGGTGTTCTGAAGACTTTTTTTTTTCTCCCCACCTGCCCCTGTCCCCCAATTCTATCAAACACTAATTATGATTGATAATGAAATACATATTTGAATTTCTCAAGTATACTCAGTTACACATTTATTGCTGTTTGGAAGATACCTGTTTTGATTTCTCACTCCATTGTTCCTGGAATGATACTGAAAACAGTAGTTATACTGACAATAAGCTGAAATATTCATGTTAGGCCAATGGCTTGCAAGATTGGGCAGCATTTCTTGACTTAACCACCTTTCCAAATAGTCCTGAATCCAGCAGATTCAGCCCAAGTAAATATTTTCAGCACAGAGGAATCCCTTAGAGTCACAAGACCACCATCTTTCATAGGTTTCCATAGAAAATAAGAAAGAATAGGTGTGTCCAGAGATCTAGGACATTTTTGGTTTATATTCCTGTCTTTGAAGTTAGGCAATCTCCAGCCTTGCGGAAAATGTGTTTGGGGACCAACCTGATGCAGAACAAACTGTAAATCCTGGAATACTTGAATGCACATTTCTGCGGTTGCTGCTTCTCGGCTGCTGTAAGCTCTGGCCTGCCACAAGCGAGGATCTGGCTCTGAATGAAGCAAAATAAAACTGTTGATTTCAACAATGTGCTTGCAGAAGAAGGAGGGCACTGAAGATTCTTCTTCCTCTAACTCGTTTGGCTCTGTGAATTGGCGTGAACAGCAGTGGCCTTCAAACTTTGCTGGATAAGGGCAACATGCTTAAAAATACTAATTTGCAGTCATAAAACCAGCTACATTTCCATTTAACTGCAGATATTTCTGAACTTGAAGCACAGTAAGTGAAAACAAAATAAAGGCTTAGACAACATAAAGGAATATTGCAGGTGAAGTTAAGATGTGATTTAAATTTGAAGGTAGTGAAAGAAATCTTATGAATTTCACAGAAGGCTTTCTTCTTTTTAGGTCATTTTCCCATTTGTTTAATATTAAAGTGGAGGCAACAATGTGATGCATTTGAGTGGTCTTTGAAGCCTTAAACCACCTCAGATTTACAGGAAATAAAACTTTTATTGTAATGGTTAAAACAAGAATTTAGTTGTTAGCTCTGCAAAGCCAATGTAAATAATGAAGATGCAGTTACATGGATTTTTGCCTTATGAACCATCAAAATGACTGACAGCTAAAATCACTCCTTATTTTTCCAGCCGTTTTCAGCTCAGATGGCAGGACTGGATGAGAAGTCTGGACTTGGTAGTCAGATGGGACTGATGCCTGGTGCAGTGGTAAGACCAGATTAGCCCTGTGCTGTAGAACAGGGTGGAAGTGGAGTGCATATACAAAAACCCCAAGGGGAATTCATCCTCTTCAACTTCCTATGCCTCTAGAACCTGCGTGTACGGTATAGTCTAGTGTAGTTTTGCACAGTACCTGGAAAAAAAAGAAAAAATATCCTTCTGTTAGAGTGAAAGCTTTTTTTCCCCATCAGTAGCCTTCTTGTTGTCTTCCTTCCTTCCTTTTGAAATATAGCAGCTACTAACAGTAAGGTACAGGAAAAAAAAAACCTTCTGATTTTCTCATATCTTGGGTCACTGCAGGGTAACTGAAAGTGTCAGATATAATGCAAAGCAGAATAAACAAATATGTAACTTTGAAGGCTTCTTTTCACATTGTGATATCAAAAAGTTATTTTTTGTAGTAATTTGAAAAATTATGTCTGAAACCAGCTCTTAACTGAAAGCTGTGCTTTATTATTTTAAGACAGACATTCTATTTCTCCAGTGTGTCCAGTTTTGTCATTGACATCTCTCACTGTTGAGACATGCCCTTTACTTTTAGTGCACCACAGACTTAATGGTAACACTGAAATTTTTACCGTCTGTGAAAGCTTTTTCACCACCCTAAGCTGTCTCTGCTAGAACTCTTGGGGTTGTTTTGGGATATTATAACTTTTCACTACATGTATTTATCACATTGTGATATCTTGAAGATCCTGCTACCCTCTTTGCTGTTGTTTTTGACATTCGCTCCTAAGGAATCCATCCTTTAGTGATTGTGCTGTCCATGAGTTTGCCTACCTGAATCTTATCCCTCCACGTCCTAACTAGTAACCTTCAAACTCAGTTTCAACACAATTTTAAAGGTTCTAAAGATAATCTGGTGTTTTGCCTCAGGATTAACTTTCGCGGTGATTTCTTCAAAGAACTTTCCTTTTTTATGAATGTGTCTCTTCAGTGAATTTGCTGTGTGCACATAAAATGATTTGTTCCACAAGCTTGTCCTACATACTTTGTTGCCCTCCATCATTTTCCTTAATCCTTTCACTCAATTTGTCTTAAAACATTACATCTCTTGTACTGCCTCTTTTTTTTGTCATTCTCAAATATGATTTGTTTTAATATTGATATCTCTTTTAAGGTATTTTTTAATATCTAGGTCTCTCTAAGGCCTTACACAAAGTCTACTAAAGTCAGCTGGAGCTTACTTACTGTCTTTGGATTGATTCATTGTGTTCTGTGATATCCTTTTTTTCCTTTCCTTGTAAACTGACAGTCATTCACTGAACCATTGTTTTTTTTGTTTTGGTTTTAAATTTTGTTAGAATTTTTAAATGGCCCATTACTCTTCTACATTGTCTTTGTAAAAATTAGTAAAAATTAATGAGTTGTGTGTAAAAGACATAAATCTTGACCCTCTGTCAAAATGCAAGTTACTGTCTGCTATAGATATTTTTGTATTGCTAGAAGCAAGAGAAATACTTTCAGACAAGATTATGTTTACTTCATTCTATGAATTACAATTAAATACAAGATTTTTCCTAAAAAATCCCATGAAACTTTTAAAGGGGAAATCTGAAATTTTTGCAACAAACCACAACTGTTTGGAAGCTGTTACAGTGGTTTCTATGATTCATGAAAATACATCCTTCCATTGCTGCTTGTTGCTGCTCACGTCTGAGAACAGCAGCATGAATTTATTTTGTCATGGATTCCATTATGAGATTAATCTGAGTAATGAGATTCCCTTCAAGGGAAGACTATTCCCCCCAACTCTATTCTGTTATTACATTTTTTTCAGTGCAGCTATGCAGGCAACCCAGTTATTCTGACTGATTCCAGAGACTGATTCCAGTAAGGTTCCAGAAAGCAAACAAGCCCATATTTTCAACTGCTAATGAATTTACACTGCTGTGGCTTTTTGAGTTTGAAGATTTCCATTCTATGTACTTTCACATTTCATAACATCACTCTCCTGAGTAAAAGCCTTTCAGAGGGTTTGACCATAGAAATGTTATCCTGGAGGTCACTATCATGCCATTTTGCTGTCTTTGTAGGATGAATGTTACTTGGGGAAGGGTGTTTTCCCAGTGTGTAACACGTTATGTTTTCAATAGGGTCCAGTGGGTCCAAGAGGTCCTCAAGGTCTCCAAGGAAAACAAGTAAGTTCTTCACCTCAGGGGATTTAAGATAATTGGCCAGAGATGCACATCATAACTGGTGTGTGTGCATCTCTGAGGCAATGTCCGTCTTCAATGTTGCATGGATGAAGGCATCTTTGGAGGTGAATTTAAACGTGCTGATCTCAAGAGCTCTGCTCCAGATGTACTCTATACACGTAAATTGTTCTTTTTGAGTTAATTTCTTAGCCCTTCAACAAGCCCTTAACCCAACACACATTTTTTTTAATGAAGGCACAGCAATGAAAATGGTGACTGTTCTTGTTTCAGCATTGGCATGGTGTTAAGTTTCCAGTGCGATTTGTGTGTGGCACAGGACTTACCTAAAGCTTGAAGGATTCTAGTATCCAACATTCACTCATTTTGCAATGTGAGCTGGTTCTGAATTAAAATCCAGACTGTCCCATGGGCTCTGATTTTCCTATTAATGGATTTTAATTTATATCCTTATATTTTTACTTTTTGGAATTTGTCACTGTATTCATCTTTGCTTAATTTTAGGGTGGTGCTGGCCCCACAGGCCCACCTGGTGAACCTGGGGATCCAGGACCTATGGTAAGACCAATAAATACAAATGTTTCTACAATAAAATTGCAAGCAATATATTATACCTCCTTACTTCACAGGAGATTTTTTTGCGTGTGTTGTCTCAGCCAAAGCTATTAAGTAACTTCCGTCAGGAGTCGTGGTGTTCAAAGCATGTTGTCCTGAATCAGGGAATTTGAATTGTTTTGAACGTGCATAATAATGATTATAATATGAAGAATCATTATTACTTTTCTAGCACAGACCTGAGGATAGTTAAGCCCTGGTAAAACCATGCCTGATAGTGTAGCTTGCACAAAGGATGATGAAAAGAATTTTTTTTTTTTTTTTTTTGTAGGTGATAAAATGATTCAAAAGTAAAAGCAAGAACCAGAAATTTGGAACAACGGCAACTGTGATTTTTAATGTTTTGGGTTTTTTCTCCTAAAGAATCCATCCTATATTCTTATATAATGCAATGCAGGATGGTTAGAAAGAGCACCACAAAATTAAGCAAATGTGCTTAGGCATAAAAAAAAAATCTGTTTTTACATCTGTTTTTATAAAAACAGACTTTGAAATGAGCAAATAGATATTTTAGTGATGGCTAAATTGACTTCTGAACGAATATATTTATTTCTTAGGGTCCAGTTGGTTCTCGTGGACCAGAGGGACCTCCAGGCAAACCTGGTGAAGATGTAAGTTTGTTATTCTCCGTATCTTGTTTTATTTTTAATAAAACAAATATTGGCATCTTTGAGACAGTGACTAACCAGCAGATGTGCCTGTTGTAACTACTTTTATCTATTTACTTTTCTTTGTAATCATACTCCTTGTTAAGTGTAGTGTCATAACTATAAAACTTAGCAACCCTTTTCAAAACCCCCCTTTCTTTTCCTTACATGTCACTGTCATATCTAACGTTTAAGCACTGGCTCTTTATTATTTCTTGGCTCAGCCAGTTATTCATCTGTGATCTCTTTCTTGAAACCAAACATAATGATATACCACAGTTAGGAGGGGACAACTGGAGGCATCTCCTCTTTTTTGGATTGCACGATGAGTTATAACAACTGTAATGATAACATACACCTGGATCTGGACAATAAAATTTAAGTATTTAATTTTTTGTAACTCCTTAATAATTTATTATATTCATAACTGATTTTATGAGACTATGCCTGCATGTACACATATATATAAGATGTATGTATTATACATGTTGCATAAGTATATGTGTACTGCACAACAATAGCCTAAGAATTTACTGATAGATGTTTATTATTTGTTTGCAAAGCACGTTAAATCCATCTGAGTTGTAATTTATAACTTGGCAATGAGTTGAAAACTGCAGATGCCGGATAGTTTAGTATAAAAATTACCATAGCTTGTGTAATGGCTGCTTTCCCATTAAACTGTACAAAGAGTTTTAAGGATCTTTGGAAACAGTTAACTGTCAGTGCAGTGACACCAAATCTTGATACTGCTTTAAGAACTTCCTCCGTTTCCAATGTATGGATGAGTTTCTTTAATTGCATTTGTGAAGCACTTTACCTTCTCTCTGTCCAGAAACTATTTTTCTGAAGCCTTTCATATTCCTGCAGCCCAGAGTCCTAAATGTATTTGAACTGATTGATGCTTATAAAGGAATGTTTGGTTGTGACTCTGGAGGACTTGAGTAACCTTCAAAATATACTTATTTGAGTCTACCATATTTTCTTTCCTATTTTATCACACAGAAAATAGTCACTGACCTAGAATGAAATTATACACATTTTAAAACATTAGGAACGGAAAGAGAAGTAACAAGCTACAATGCAGGCAGTTTTAGATTGCAGTTCCCATGGAAAATTATAGTAATTTGACTTTGCGTGAGGATGACAAAAGGTTGCCTCGTTCATTCACAGGAAATCTACGTTGCAGCACCATCTTGTGTTGCTGAGGTGCATTTTGGACTCAGTCGTCAGTTGCCACAACTCTTTGTTAAAACCTTTTTAAAAGTTAATGTGTCAAAGGCATGTTGTTGGTCATGTGTGCAGCTGATTTATATCATTGAAACTTTTACAATAAGGAGAAGATTTATAATCCTGATATGAATGTCCTGGTTTGTTTGAATGAAAGACTGATAAGGTAATTTTCACATTTGCTATTTTAATGTGTTCTTTTTTTTATTTGCTTAGGGTGAACCTGGTAGACCAGGACAATCCGGTGAGCCTGGATTTCCAGGATCTCCAGTAAGAGCATAATTATTTACCTTTTAGAAAAATAATCACGCTCATGTCATCACTATTTCTTTTAATAATGAGTGCAAAACTCTGCTATTCAATTTCTGAAGTCCTTGTGTCAGCGTACGCTAATGATCCAGATCAGTGTGATAGCTCAGAACCAAACAGGTGATTGAAAGGTCTGTAAGTTAATCCTGACGGTCATTTCACAGGTGCATGTTTCAACTGCTTCATAGATGAAATGTGCATAAAACAGACCACAGTACATACAAGTTGTACTCCATTTCCTAGTATTTCACATGTTCATTCACAGTCATGTTCAGGAAGTGCTCAGAGAGTATAAAATGATGTCAGGTTGGGGTGGCACTGTTTACCTTTAAAACAGTGAGTCTGAGGGCAGGGGAAGAAAGGTTTGTATCAGAGAGATATATAATTTATTTTAATATATTTATTCGATATGCATATATGATTAAGCGGTTTCCAAATAATATGTACTTGTACTGCAGAGGATAATTGTCAGGGTTCACTCTAGAGATAAAAGAAAACAGGTATATCTGATAATGAGATGACATAATTTTATATAATTTTGGCCCATATTAAGAGTTCTACCTTCATCAGTCAAGTTTCTGTACCTAGAAGGCAGCTGTAGCATGGTTGAAAAGGGGACAGATAAATCCCAGAACTGAAGTCACCTGATACACGTCACCTCTCCAACTGCCTTCTTTTGTTTTTAAGCATCCAGTTATTGCCTGGCAATTTTGTTAGCAACTGGAAGTACAATCTCTTGGAGAGAGAAATGTTTTTTTTTAACAAGGCAGTGTTGTTTCCTAAGTTTTCCTTCTAAGTTTTATGGATCAAAGACAATGTTTTGTGAGCTGCTTGAGGCAAATATTATCTGTGGAGTATTGTTCTGTTCAGATCAAGCTGTTTTGCTCAGTAAAATAATCTTTTAGAAGACTTTCTAATGAAGGAAAGTAGTACTGCAACTGCACACACACAAAAACTCTCATTAATAGTTTGCTGCAGTTGCATAACACTGTAGAGAACACCATTGAATACTCTGATACATGGTCTAAACAAGCATAATTTGTACAATTTCAAATTTACATGCAAGACCTTGTGTGACAACAGAGATCATCCTTCACCGAGGAACTCATTGAGTACAAATAATTTCAAGCAACCTAATTTATCCCTTTCAGAAAATTTCATACCTTTATAAGGAATTTTCCTTCTAGGAGTCCACAAACCGTGGAGTAATTGCCCACTGAACTTTGTGATCCATATATTATCCATATAAGTGACTATGGGAAAGCAAGGACCTTTCTTATGTTCCTTGAAGCTAACAAGGAAACAGCTTGTCTGTATGTGAAGTTCTCCACTCTAGTGCTGAGATCTCAGATGTTCTTTTTGACTCCTCTGAATATCAATGCTGCTTCATTTTCTATAATATAATATATTTTTTGCTATGCCAAAAGACCTATGAAAAAAGATTGGATGAGCTATAATCTTTTTGAGAACTTTGGTTCAGAGGTACCGTAAAGGAAGAAATTATGTGTTTAAACAGTTTCCTGAATTGTTGTTTTTTGAGAGTATGAAGGTGTTAATGTGATTGCCATTATAAATTCATGCGACCAATATTCTAGCATGAGGACCTAGCTCCCTTCCTACTTAGTCTTTCCTGAAAGAGAAATTTGGAAACTTGGTAGGAAACGAAGTGCAAGGCAACTTTGGTGTAATTACTATATGTGATTTAATAGCATGCTACTTGACTGACATATTCTGAACAAACACGTACAATTTTCATTTTGGTCTCAGTTTCTATTTTATTTTAAAGGATAGCTCTGAGTTTTTATCTCTGTTTAATTAAGGTTTCTCCATATTAAGCTTCAAAACTTGATCTACCACTAGTCCTTACTTCTGTTTGAGGTTTAATCGTACACTGATGTAAACAGTAAAGGTTTTAATATGAGTGAAAATGTACATAATGCTCAGACTATCTAACATCATAGCCTGTTATGCTGTATCATCTGTGACGCACTCCAATGCTATGCCTCACTATATTATGTCACAAAGGTGAAAGAGTGATAGGAGTATTAATATTAATGCTGCTACCCTCTTCACTATTAGCAGCATTATCACTAGGTTTATCTACAGAAATCAGCATTTTTTGGTTGTTTTTTTCTATTTTCCTACTTAGGGGCCTCGAGGCTTTCCTGGTGCTCCTGGTCTCCCGGGTCTCAAGGGTCACAGGGTAAGAAACAGAGTTTTCCCTCTCCCTATAGATGATGTTTCCAGGCAGTTTCACTGTAAAGGTACTCTACTTCGTACTGCTCTCTTATATTAGTGGTGAATTTGACTACACTCCTTAGTCCTGCCAATTGCGGCAGAACCACAGGCATTGGAGAGAAAGAGGGCCTTGCAGAAAATCAACGCTATTCCCCTTCAAGCTGACCTCTGTATTATATTCTCTAGTGCTTTCTTCACTCTATTTTCAAATGATCTGGGAATCTGGAATGAGCTTGCATGAGCCCTGCCAAGCTTCAGGAGGCACAAACCTGACAGTTCTTTCACTTTGTTGGCAAGTCTCACATTAGGGTGGGGAACTTGAAAGGTGGATATGTTTGCAGCATGGAGTTATTACAAATGACCAAGTTTTCTGGCCAGAATTTTACTTTGGGGAGGAATAAATGGGTTTCCTATGGCTCAGAGCCTCCATCTTGTTGTTTCAGGATTTTTTTTAAACCTTCTTGTTTTAAAAAGGAAACCAAATCCAAGGAAATGTACCTTGTACAAATGGTTTCCATTTAGGAAATGTTTAAAAACTTTATTCCATCTGTTTTTTTCTTTATTTTTCTCCTTTCTTGTGCTTGCCACCTCAGATCCATTCTTAACATTGTAGTATCAAGTAGGAATGCTCTGTGTGTGTGCTTATATAAATATAATTTCCCCATATTTTTGTAACTCTAACAGGGATTGAAAGGACTTGATGGTCCCAAAGGTGAAATTGGAGCAGCTGGAGCAAAGGTATTTTCATTGCCCAAAGAACTCAATGCTTAAGCATGTTTTCTATAATACCAAAATAATGAAAGATAGTATATCTTTTGAATGCAGCTTTATACCCTCTCCTGTCAATGCTACTTGCACAGAGTGGAGAGGCTATGTGGAATTACACATTTTTACTGCTTGTTGGATCCATATAAACTGCTATACAATGACATGTACTGGGCTTTATACAGGAAGAGAATTCAATAGTGCCAGTCACAATTTCAGGTGGGGCTCAGTTTTAGGCCTGGAAGGTATCACTAGGTGAATTGTCTGTGGTAATGAAGACAGCAAAGTCTGTTAACGAAGAACTCATGCACATCTTGCAGTTTTCCACTTGGCCAGTTTGTGGTTCTTGTTGGCTTTATGTGACCAAGCTGAGAGAAGAAAAAAAGTTTTCTAGCATTTTTTTAATAAAATAAAGCAATGCATAACTAAAGCCTGACTCTCCTCTTTTGGATTACCATACTAGAGATTGGCTTAAAAGAAACAGGAATTGGAGAGGAGAGAGAATATATTTTATCAAACTATTTTTCACCAAACAAGTTTATTATCTTAGAATTTTTGATCCTCACTGGTACTGCAGCTCCCTTACAACTTCAGCTTAAAGCAGTGGTAACACAGGGTAGCCAGATGGAGACAATCCTTTCGAGATGGATTAAAAGTTATTTTAAAAGAGCATAGAACACTTTTTTTTCATGCTTTTCCACATTGATCAGTGCTGCTGATGAAACGGTTTTGGCCTAGCATAGGCAGTAATTGCAGGTGGAACAGAACCATTCCTTTAGATTAACAATGTAGTAAATGAAGTAAAGTAGATGAATCTTCCAAAATTGAAATTTAAATGTTATTTAAGAAGTGTGATTTTTGGTAGAGTAGGTTTAAGAAGAGTTTGTGTAAGAAAAGATTTCTTTCCCGAGATTGCCTACCACTTTCTGTGGAGGCAACAACAGCATGAGACTTGGTAGAAACAGTGCAGTAGGTGGTGTGGGCTGTTAGCTAGAACAGGTAGGAGTTAAATCTGCTTCACTGAGAACATGTAAATATGGCATTTGCTGTCAACCTGGGGAACAGTGCCCTTGGTGCACACAGGTGACTGTGCAAATCTGCCTCTTAGGTCTAATATAAGCATGGAGGACGGGGATGAAACAGGTAACTCCATTTTCTTCTAACCCGTTTCCTCTAATTGTGTCATTTCATTTTCATTTCTAGGGAGAATCTGGACCAACAGGTGCCATGGGTGCAACGGGTCCTCTAGTGAGTGTCATGTGCATTGGATATTACAGAAGTCAGGAAGCTGAAGTTTCTCTTAATTAAGACTTTGTTTTCTATTACACTAACAGCACATTTGGTCCACTATAAGCTGTTACTCTTCACAATTCACAGACATAGATAATAAAGATAAATCAGAAGGCTCAACAGAAACTTGGATGTAGGTTTTGTGATTGTTTACCTACTCATGTAAGTGTAGGGTGACAATATTTTTTTTTTTAACTTGTTGATGCTTCATATGGAGTGATTTCAACATGAGAAAAAATGGATTAGGTTGCTCTGAGATAGAAATGGAATAATTCATGTCAGAAATACACTAGCTAAAAAAAACCACGGATAAAGGATTTTGGAAGTTATGGTGAGGACAAGCATGCATGATATGGGAATGAAACTGAGAAACTTTTTCTCAGAGTAGTTTTCATTCAGATGTGGTTTTGGACAACTGAATACTTGTGAGGAGTGTAACATGCCAAAAATCGACTTTTAGCAGTGCTTCTAATATCAGATAATGACATCTCTCTGCGAAGCACTATCTTGTGTCGTGCAGAATGTAATATCCCTGAAGTGGAACCTAGTTTGTGAATGAGCCATAGTAAATGAGATTGCATTATTGACCCTGGTGAGTATATACAGAATTTATTCCAATGTGTTTAAAACTAGAAATACTGTTGGAACAGGAAAAGAGAGATTACAGGCTCTTAAACTTCCACTGGGCAAGCCTTTGAGGCTGCAAGGATTTACGTAAGCTGCTACTTCTTTCCTGCTACAGGACAACATAAGCTACACCTGCAGGAGGTAAAAATATAACTTGATTCTGTAACAGTTGTTACCGTGCCCTTACCGTGTTTGTAGTCTCAGTGAACCTAATCATGTTCTTGTTAAAAGCAAATAAAGAAGACTGAGCAGAAAATTGCTAAAGAGCGATACAGTGCAAAACTTACTTGAAGCAAAGGAAAAGTCAGGAATGTTTAATGAAAAAGTAAAAAGCAACAAAAAGAAGAGAGAGTTGTGTGTTCACAAAATTAAGTGAACAATGTTTTTTCACTTCTTGTTATTCTGACATGATGAGATCTAAATAATGCACTTTTTGTTCTCTCTTGAAGGGACCTAGAGGAATGCCAGGAGAAAGAGGTCGAATTGGACCACAGGGTGCCCCTGTAAGTAGGGTCTTGCTTGTCTGTAATTCTTCCCTTACTTTACCTAATTTAGATGTCTGAGCCTGAAAATGTTTATTCATGTGACTGCTGGTCAGGTCCATGTTAAGTTCTGCTGTACCTTAAGAAAGTTAGGGATTGAGCAGAGCTTTGTGGGGTAAGACCTTTACTGTAAATTTCAAAAGTCAAAAACAGTTATAAAAGGAGAATGTTAGCTGTATGGTAATTTCTGATACCAGAGCTGCCCATGAGGCCAAACACTCTCACAATACTTTCTTCTGTGATACAAAAATTTCTTCTTTGTTTCTGTGAAATTTCTCATGAGGCTATTTCCACCAAAAATTACTGAATTAGAAGTAATATGTATTGAATTTGTCTTGAACAAAATTTAAAATGAAAATTTAGACAATTTAAATTAAGTCTTATCATTTATCTTAAAAATTACTTTGCTTTTCAGCAAAAAGAGGGATTAGACTTGACATGAGATCATATTTGAGTAGAAATTTCTTTCTGTTCCTTTATGTTCAGTGTCAAGTGTTGTTTTTTCTGGCATTTCTCCCCATGACTTTTATGTGCTCCTTACAATTACACTGTCAAAATACTGGCCTCTCTGAAAACAGAGGAATCTATTTTTACTGGAAGGGAAGCATAATTTCTTCCAGAAGTTTTCCATGCCAGTGTTTGGAAGGCTCTGCAATCCAGCATTTCTTTGATTGCTTTAGTATGTATGGCTGTCATCACAAATGCTAACAGTAAACAATTAAAAAAATTAGTTAGAGTTCTTACAAATATTCCCTCTTGTCCATTTTTATATCTAGGGTGGACGTGGCCAGCATGGTATGCCTGGGAAGCCAGGACCAATGGTAAGTTTCTTAATCACATTATTTTTTCACCTTATGTTTGCCACTTGCTTTTCGACACTACCAAAAGTACAAAAAATTGTTGGTGGTTGCTGGTAACAGCAAGTGCACCTGGAATGATCTGAAAGTCATTCCTGGTTCTACTCACCATAGATTTAATGCTGTCCTCCGAGAAATCATACTTGGTAGTTTGCTTCATCTAAAGGTTTTAATTTGCAGAGGAGTAGGCTGTAGCATCTTCCCTGGAGGGGGGTGATGCTTTGCTGCTTTTATGAAGTGGGGTCCATATTGTAGGGAGATAAGTGTGTTAAAGATATGCACGGTGATATAAAACAGTTTATAATTGCATATTGTCTTCTTTCACATACAAAGTTGACAAATGAACTTGCACCCATTCTCTGCAAGAAGAAAGTCTTAAGAAACATTCATTTAGCTGTGTCATCTTAATGAACAGACTGTTTTATTACAAAGTTCATTAAGAAATAATTAACTGTAGTAGAAGCTCAAAAAACGAGTGTAAGTGTGTAAAAGCTGCAAAACTCAACTTTTTAGTGTATCATGAAAGAAGGGTAACTTAGATAACAAATTATAAAGTTTAAAAAAAGCTGTGTCCCAAGCTATGAAACTCTACATGGAGCTTGAAATTTTTATTTGGCATAATATATGAGCTCCGCTACACTGGGCATGATAATGGGTTGGCTAACATTTTTGGTAAAAATCCCATATAGCGTCACAAGGGAGATACTGGTACTTAATGCGTGTGTTTCTCATTGGAGGAAGTGTTAATGAAATGCACTGTTATTTGGGTCAGTGCAGTGGTACACCGTAATTCTGGAATTCTTCCTGCAACAGGAGAGAGATTTGGCAGGCGTGTATTTGTGATCCAATAAACTGGGACACAGATTTTCAGAAACCTACTTAGTGAGCTGTTACATCAGTTCTGTAGAAATTCAGTGCAAGGTCATGGCAGAAATGTTGTCTGTAATACTCAGTGGGACAGATTGTTCTTATTAAGTTTGTCAGCAGAGCTTTCTTACATAGAACATTTTTTCACAGTATGCGTCATATTGTACAAAAAGAGAGAAAATCAGGAAAAGATAAAGAGGAATCATCTGGGAACGGTGTTGCAGTGAACATTTATAACCACTGCGTGACGCCCTCCAGAGAGTTTATAATACAGTAGAAAGGTCTTCTGTTGAATGTCTTGTTCAGCGCAAAAGGCATTATGAGAATGGAAACAATTTACAAATTTAATCTAAAGCCCTTAATTGGAAGTCTTTCTGTTTAGCAAAACAAGGGTTGCATCGTACCATACAGATATATTTGAGTGTATACACTTGAAGATTGCTATCTAGTGAGTTTGGACACTCTACCATGTAATGCAGCCCCAGGTCCTTGTATCCCTGCCCAAAGTTCATGACCTCACAGCCATATGAGGTGTGCCTACACTCTGCAGCGCAATGTACCAAGAATTTGGCTCTAGAACTGGAAATAGCATAGCCACATGAGTACTAGTCTGCTCAAGCTGTCAGTCCTTAGATACAGCATTGACTATCTCAAGATATAATGCTATTTGGGAAGAGCTATACTGTTTTGGGGAGCTGAAGATGTACCTCTGCACAGCATTACGTATCATGATGTGATATAACCCAGCCTTTCCTCAACTTCCTTTTCCAGAAATACCTGCCTATCTATGAACAAAGATCCAAGCAGTAAACTGTCTCTGCTGTATGTCTTTGTCTATAGAGCCTTGAAAATATGATACAAAACCTGTGTTTTGAAGCTTGCAAATGAATTTGTGAATTTGGGGCAGAAGAATAGAAAGCAGGGCATGTAGTTGCGTAGCCTTTGATTATATTTTTACTTGTTAAGTTGCTTACCTCAAAAATCTTGTTCATCAACCCAATTGTTTCAATGTAGGTGTGGCTTGTATTTCTCTTTTTCTAGGTTACTATTTTAAGTTTAAAAGACTTGAAACTGTCCTTTGCTACCGTCTGTAAGAGAAATTATCGTTTAACAAATATCTTTTCATTACTATACTACAGTAGTATAGATATGAAAAGAAGATATAATTTGTTGTTTAAAAAAATTGAAAAACAATTGCTATAATAGTCAACTGTGTACATTGCAATTTGTGCATAAATAGCTGAATCGAGCTGTAAATTTGCTAAGTCAGCAAATACATTATTGAAATAAATACCACACCACAATTCCATAAAATGTGTGTATATCACTTAGAAAAACAATATTTATAGGTATTTTGATTTTGTTATGAATAAATGTTTTATGGCTAAAAAAAATCCCAGAATCATATTTTCTGAGTGATTAGATACTAATCTGTGTGATCTAAACTGCAGAACTAGAGCTTTGTGTGTCTATCTTTTATAGGGCCCACTGGGCATAACTGGTTCTCCAGGTTTTCCAGGTGCTCCTGGTGTAAAGGTAAAAAACAAAATAAAAATCTCATTTTAGTATGTCTAACAACGCAGAATTAAAACGTGTACTGGACTACACAGAGTTCAGACTGACATGTATACAGGTCCCTAAGAGTTGCTGTGAAATCAGTCTTAGTCAGAGACCTTGAGACAAAAGATAGACATCAGAAGACAATGAAGCAATTGCAATGCACCACAGTTAGGATACTTTTTTTGCTTTTATTTTTGCTTAGACTGTCATGCTATGCCTCAGGAATCTTGTCTAGTATATTCAAAGAATAATAAGATGTATTATTACACGCTAAGTTGCGAGGACTAGTCCAAGACAGTGTGGAAGCAGTACACTTTTGCAGTTCATCGCAATAGAGCAAATGATGATTAACACTTTTTGTGGCTCTGTGTGATTGGGCTGAAATGGAAAACTTCCACTGGCTGCAGCGCTGTCTTCATGGGACTTTCCTCTCTTGTTTTTCAAGGAAGCGCTCTTTTCCCGCCCCCC